ATGCCTGACCCCACCCCAGCTCTTTACTTGTCCTGACTCCATTGATCGGCTGTTAGCCCCATTTCACTAATGATGAAACTAGGGCTGAGGATTTAGGCAGCATGTCCAAGGTCACATCGGAAGCAATGGAGCCAATATCTGACTTCAGGGCCCTCTACTGACTTTGCAAAAATCCCAGGACCCTGAGACTTGGGTTCCAGACCCAGCTTGCAGTGTGGCCTTGGCCAAGTCACCTAACCTCCCTAGATATTAGTTTTCTCTTCCCATAAGGTGGGTATAATGTCCCACTGTCCTCAAGATTATTGTGAAAAACAAAAGTGCTAATGAATACAAACCATGAAGCAGGCACTCAATAAATGCCCACTGCAAGCGTCTCAACAAAGGGACCTCCCCCTCCTTATGGTTACTGGGCATTCAGGTCCTGAAGTGTCCATGTACCCTACCCAGGCCCTCAGACTGGGAGACAAAGGACCTGCCAGGTCTCTGGGAAGGGACTGAATGACCACTTGGCGCCACCTAGTGGTCCACATTTGTGCGGTTCTTGGGGAGCCAGAGGGCCTGCCTGGCTGCTCTGGGATTGGGTTTTTGAACCATGACCATGACCATTGGCCTGGTGGGAGTGGGCAAAATATGCCAGGACCTCAGAAAGCATGCCTAGTTAAGCCTCTCCTGTCCGCCCCGCTGAGGGTAGGGTTTAGGTGGGCACTCCCCCATTCTGCCATCTAATCCTCACTTCTTAATCCCTTTGGACAGCTCTGGGACAACCAAGGGGAGGCCACCAGGTTCTAGTTCCAGCTCTGCCACCGCCTAGCTCCCCAGGCTTCAGCCACCTCCTCTTCAAAATCGGAGTAAACATCCCTGCCTCTCAGGGGATCTGGCACTGTCCTGTGTTCTTTTATTTATCAAACATTCCTTTCTAAAGTCATCATGCCGAGTGCTCTAGGGGCACAAAGACCTTTAAGCCAAGTTCTTGCTAACAAGTCTCGCCTTATTCTAGGGGAGACAGCCTTGTAAATTTCTAATTACTCTCAAGGCAGATCACAATCGGTGCTGAGGAGGGAGCATTGAGTCAAGACAGACCTGTGGGGGCCTGTAGGTAGGGGACACACAGAAGCCCCTCTAGACCCCCAGAGGGGCTCTCACCCAGTGCTGGGCCCCCTCAGGGATAGGCCTGTGTCCCCCAGCTCCCATCTTCTCTTGCTTTAAAGTCTTTAATAAAATGGACCACTGAGCTTCATCTTTCACACTTCTGAGCCTTGGTACTACTATGTAGTTCCCTTTTCCCAAATGCCTTTCTCCAATTTGTTCACCTGACAAACTCATCTCCAGCCTTTCTCTGAAGAGTGGAAGACAGAGTGGGAAATCCCTATGACTAGGCAAGTAGGGAGGAAACAGGAGTCAAAGGTCCCCCTCCCCCGCCCCCCACAGCAGTGTGATGAAGCAGATACCCCCTTCGTCACAGCAGCATGCTCAGGCAAGTGGCAAGCCCTGTGGTTGCCTAAATGCAGGCTCTCTGCATTCTCTCATTACTTTATTCATTCCCTGCTCTTGGTCTGCCCCATTCCATGTGCTGGGCTGGGTGCTGGGGCTTCAAAAGGTGGGGAACTGACTCGGTCTAGTTCTCAGGAGCTTTGTGGTGCAGGAGACAGGCCCACGGCCAAGAATAGCATGATAGATGTGCTCAGAGGCTGGACCTTACCGTTCTGCCTAGAAAGGGGCTGAGCTAGGAACACAGAGGAGGTGATGTCTCAGATGAGTCATAAAAGGTTATTCTGGCCATTTCGGATTTGCTAGAAACATGTAGCCACATTGGGGAGGTGTGACGGGGGAAGGCATCCACTTCAGAGTCCCTTTCTTTGACTGTCTTCTAAGTCAGCTCTCACCACCCCACAGGTACTTTCTATTATTTGATTCTTTAATATTTGTCACAATTTGAGATTATCTTGTTACCTTCTTTATTCTAAATAATTGCTTGTTATTTAGAATCAGTCTCTCTCCCTTCAATACAGTATCCCAAGGCAGGACCACATCTTTGGTTTACTGTGGGGTCTCCAGTGTCTAGCCCAGCACCTGGCCTAGTAGAGGCACTGGATAAAGGTTTGTAGAATGAATGACTAAATGAACACACAGGATGAACAGAAAGTCTCCTTATCTCAGTATGACAGGATTACCGAGGAAATTTCCTCCTTTGTTCTGCCCATATTTATCCACCCATTCCTGCCCTTATACTCTGAGGGGGTCACCAGGCTTTTCTGTTTCTTTGCCTCAAATCCAGAAGCTACCTGAAGATATACTCTTCTGACTTTTGCTTCCCAGGTTCAATTTCTTGAGGGGATTATGTTGGGGGAAGGAAGAGTCAGAGAGAGGAGGGTCCCCAAGACTAGAGAGGGGAAAAGGATTAGAGGGTCTCCTGGGGAAACCACAGGGAGGTGGCAGGGTTCCAGAGGGCAGAGTATGAGGTCCTCCCACTATGCCCTGGAGAGAGTGGCTCTTGGAAAGTCTCTCACCCGACTCTGCCCTCGGCCCAGCAGAGTTATGTCCTGTGGATGCTGGTCAGTGCGGGTATCAGCAGCTACATGAGGCCCTGGAGGTGAAAGGCCTGTTCCTACAGGGCCCACCTCCTGCCTGTTAAGACCCTGGGGGTGGGGAGACCTCAATACTGACTGAGATGGGGATTCCTTACTCTCCCAGGGACACAGGTTAGAAATCAGATTGAATTAGATCTTAAGGAAGTGAAAAACTGAAGTTTTTTGCATACCTCCCTCACAAGACGATCTACTATTGTGATCTGGCCTGAGAAGTAGGGATGTCTAGACCCCCTCCCATAGGGAACGTGTTTGCCTTCCTCCTGGGCCTCCTGGAGAGTACGTTCACAATGAGAGGGGATTGCTAAGGACAGGACTTTCTGGTGCCCGGGCAGTCTTATGAGGAAGACTTCTTTCAGCAGAGCAAGTCCATATGAGACTAGGGGAAGCTGAAATCAGTACCTGGATGAGGGCAAAGTGCTGGAGGCTGAAGGTGCCTCAGCAGTGTGAGTTTGAGGGCGGAGTCAGAGAAGAGGGTCCCAGGAGAGGACCCTCAGGTATCTTCAACAGCCTCGCTCTGGGGGATGATGTAAGATTCATCTCCTGGCAGGAGCTCTGGTCTCTCTTGCTCCTTCATGGCATATTCAGCCTCTTGCCAGTGGCTGCATGACCTGCATAGGAGACCAAGCCCAACCAGACGCATACCTGCCTTTAGGTCAGGACTGAGTGATGTGAGGAGACAGAAGAGTGCAGGATTCCTTCCTCGTGGTGGCTGTGCTCCGTACCCAGGGGTGGCTGCAGAGTTCCTCTTGGCCCGCTGTTCCTAGCTCCACTCCTTTTCTAGCCTCCCTGGTGCCCACTTGTTTCCAAGCCTGGGTTTCTGGCCTTCATATCACTTCTTTGAGCTAGCCTTCTGTTCCATTACCTTCTTTTCCCTGATTAAGTTATCCTGAGTCAGTTTCTCCTGTTTCCATCTAAGAACTCCAGAGGGTGATGAATTGCCAGAAAGCACGAGACGATGATATCCGTGCTAAACTAGATGGTCCCCAAACTGTGTGTTAAGTGGAAGGAATAAAAAATGCAAGGTGCAACCAGATCATAAGCTTCCCGAGGGCAGGGTCCCAGTGTGACCTGCTAACAGCCGGACCTGGGAGGAGGACCGTCATGTGGGAACACCCTGGCCCTCAGCACCATATTTAAAAGCCCCCATGTTGCCTACTTGTGGAGGGGGTCACCCTGGTGGGCTTGGCTCCTCCTAAGAGTGTCTTCTATTTGGGGCAGGGAGAAGGGTTCATGCCACAGAAAAATAATCGGCTCCTCAAGGTCAGATAGTCAGAGATCACCCAGGGGCTGCACTGGCACGCCTCTGAGCCCAGATCTTGTCTGCCAAAGGAGCCAGTGTAGGAACCAGACAGATCTGCTCTACAGACATTGTGGTGATAATCATTAGTAATCATAAATGTTAATAATAGCTACTGATCAGGTTCCTGTCATGTGGCTGGCCTTTTTCTCAACAACCCTGTGCAAAAGGAAGTTACCACCTGCACGTTATAGGTGAAGAAACCCTCTCAGAGAGGTTGTGTAACATGCCTAAAGTCAGACAGCTGGCAAGTGGCAAAATTAGGATGGAAAGCCAGGTCTAGCCCCTGAGCTGTAACCATCAGTAAAATTCTCCAGGCTGTAGCACTTCCTCCTTCACGAAGCCCGCAGTGAAGGTATGAGGCCCTCTCGCCCCTCTGAACCACCACAGCACTGAGCCCCCATGTCAGTGGCCTCCACCATTTAACCAGACACTCCCTGAGGACCTACTCTGCATTAGGGCCTCTGCTGGCTGTTGGATGACAAGGATAAATGCCTTCAAGCACCCAGATTTCATGCCCTCCAGCCACCAGCATGGTTTTATTATTCTCTACCCTTCCCATCATTGGCAATTTTATATTTATTAGCCATTGCTCCCTGTAGCTGCCAATGCATGCTTCCACTGTAACTGTATTTACCAGCCAGAATTGATACCTTTCACTCATAAGCTGGGGACCATAACAGTTTTAACCAGCCTATGAGGGCCTCTGAGCCATTTCCATCAAGCTTTTTCATCAACTGAAGCTAGTCTGTTGATGACCCTTCCCCATCGAGGGCTGCAGGAAGGCCCAAAGTAAGAGCCCCAGCATTTGTCAGATGTTGCAGCAGGCCCACCTCTCACCATGTGAGTTCTCTAGTGTGTCCTTGTCTGACTATTGGGTGACGGTGATTTGCTTTGTCATTTCGTTGTGAGTCATCAACTTCAGGTAACACAGCTTTCCAAATAACCAGTGATACTAACAAAACCTCTCACAAGGGTGCTGCGAGCTCAGTAAACACCTCTGCACATGCAGGCTGGGGCAGGGGGCACAGGATTAGCCTCCCTGGGACAAGAGTAGCCAGTGCCCCAGGCAAGGGTGCCCTCTTAAAGGCAGCAGAAGACTCAACTCCCAGGCCTTACACAATTCACAAGTTTATTTGTCCTAAATAAATACAATCTAAGAACATCCATTTCAATCCCCCCACACTATTTCTTCCCCCACCAAAAAACAGTTTAAGATACGTGCACACAGTTTGCAGTGTGTGCTCTTATGTCAGGCTCAAGAAGGGGTTTTCCTGGCTATGCTAGACTGGGCCTAGCTGTGAAGGTTCTCCAGGTTCCCTTCTCTGTTTAGGGCCGGAACTAGGCCTGAGTCCTCCAGGACCCCTATAGCCTATTCCTGCTCCTGGAGCATCTGCCTCCTCCCTCCATAGCCCAAATGGGGTGGCGTTCATGACCATGTGGCCCTGTGGTCAGCCCTTGCAGAGCTCTGTCCTCTAACACCAGATACCCAGCACAGGCCCATTCCCACTGGCTCAGGAAGGGTTACTACTGACCTGGGAAGCAGCTCACCCAGAACAAGGGGAGAAACTGAGGGACAGCTGGCAAATGGGTGGGAAGCACTCTCCCTTAACGCCTGCCAGGAGGCTGAGAGCCCCTAATGAAGGGAGAAAGAGGCACTGACCACTCTCCCCCTGTTATTCCCCAGGGTCCTGGCCTACTAGGGAGGAGGGGGAAACCATCCTTTGTCTTCTCATGGCGGCTCAAAGGTTTGGGTCCACATTCTCCTGGTCTGAGGCTGTCTCATCATCATTTGGAGACTCCTAGATCAAAGCCAGAGAACCCAAGTAATGGGCTTCTGCTGTACCCCAGAACCACAGCCTGGGGACCAACATCTTCTTCCTTTTGCCCCTGTCCCCAGTGGAGCCAGGGAAGGCTCTGCCACCCCCACCCAGGGTCCCTTGGCCTTTCCTCCATCCTAGCTCTCAGACTGCCCACAGCCACATGGCCCACCATTGGGTGACTCTCTCTTACCGGACCGAGGCCCCTGCCTTGCCGCAGGCTGGCATAGAAGCGCAGCACACGGGAGTCACAGCGAACCACCATGGGGTCAAAGTCTAGGACACGCAGGCCCTGCAGGCTGCGTGCCCGGGAAAGGGCCACGTAGGCCTGGCCGCTGGCAAATACACGTCCCAGAGACATCTCCACACAGTCCAGGGACATTCCCTGGGGGATAGAAGGACAGAGATAGAGCCAGCTCTGCCTAAATTCCCTTGTACCCAAGAGCCTGGCCCCACCTCACCAGCTCAGCTACAGCCCCTGGATCTCCTTGCCCAGTCCAGGGATTCTCAAGGCAGAGGAATGGGTTGACCCTATGTGGGTGTCTGAATAGGAGGGGGTCCAGGAGATGATCCAGGATAAGAGTAGGGGGATAGAGGCAAAAGGAAAGAGCTCAGGCCTGGGTTAGACAGGCATGAAAATGAATCCTAGCTCTGCCTCTCACTATTTGTATGCCCGTACACAAGTTACTCAACCTCTCTGAGCCCTGGAATGATTATTATACAGTTGTAAGGATTAAGTTTAACATATCTGGTAGTATCTCAGAAGATAGCGGGGCAGGAAATGACAAAGGGGAAATGACAAATGTCTGAGAAAGGAAGAGAAGGAGGCAGAGTGGGAAATGCACTAAAGCAAGGTTTATTTTACAATTGGAACTTTCCATCCAGGTCTAGCTCAACTTCCATAAAACCTTTAAGAGTCCCCTTCAGGCCTGTCCCATTCTCCCTCTGCTCTGCCCTGGCCCCATGTCCCATACTGGCTGCTCACCTGGCTCTTGTGGATGGATATTGCCCAAGCCAGCTGGAGGGGCAGCTGCTGCCGGCTAAGGAATTGGCCTCCAGTGGCCTGCACCGTCCAGCGGTCAGCACGGATGACCTCAGTGACTCCACAAAGGAACCGCACCTGGGGAAGCCCTGAGGAAGAAGCCCAACCTTTTAGTCCAGCTTCAGGGCTTAGAAATGCAGAGCAGACCTCGCCTCTCCATCCCAGCCTCCTCCTCCTGTATTTACCCCAGGCCCCTGCTGCAAACTCAAGCAGTAGGACCACACCCCCACCACCTACCTCTCCCCTCAGTCTCGAACCCGACTACCACCCCTCGGGCACCATTCACCAGGCCCCGGGTGACCGCTAAGTTCTTCACCAGCATCACCTACAAGGGAAAG